CCGCCTTCCTCCGCTCGGTGGCCATCCAGTGGTCGAACTCGTGCGGCAGCAGCCCCCGAGGGGCGGAGACGGGGGCTCCGGGTCGGGTGCCACCTCGCAAGCAGCTCACCTTGTCCGCGGCGGACACCAGGCAGCGGAGGCCGTCCTGCAGTGCGAGGGGGCAACGCAGTGTGCGGTTTCCATTTCAAGGTCAAGAGGCTCTTGAGACGCAAACTCAAGCCTCATGGCAAGGGATGGGTTGCGACAGACAGATGTGGGGAATAGATGGAGATCCCATTACGCCACACGGCCAGTGGACTACAAATACAGAGCTGCATAGTACGACAATACCCGCACCCATTGGCCAGTACTATTCACCCCCCTTGCTCAACCATTTGACTTGGTTTCTTTTGGGGGGACGCTTTCCTTGTGAAGCAGCTGTGGAGGCAACATCTGGCCACCAGCTCTACCCGGCGGGGCCCCCTGGGACCACAAGGTGGGCTGGCTGCTCCAAACCTTCCACTCCACACATCCATCCACTCAGAGCCTCGCCTTGTACGAACCTTCAAGGAGCTGGTTCCGGGGCCATTGGGGATGGCGGCGGTGGTGTCGATGTAGTCCGACCAGGGTATCTTGTGGCCCAGCACCGTGGGGTCGTACGTGGCACCGGGCTTGCGGAGGAAAGGCGCCTCGCAGGGCACCCAGGGCCACACCACCGCGCGGTTCAGCACCAGACCTAGACGCATAAGGCCCTGCAGCGGAAGGCAGGTGCAGCTCCGACCCGTGAGGAAGAGGGGTGAGAAGGAACGCGCGGTGGGAGCGGCGGAGGTGCAGTAGTTGGGGTTACCACGCCATCATCCCCTGCTGATGTGGTCCTTCGGTGGAAGGGCAGTCCTTGGAGGAAGGCCAGACAGGCATTCTGCATCCGTGTGTATGTACGTCCTACCTCGCCGTGTGCAATCCTGTGCAATCCGTGTATCCGCACATTAATCAGGTCGTCCCACCGAAGCCTAACACCCAGCGCACCTGCATCATGACGGCAAACTCGCTCTGTGTAAGACCCGAATGGGCCACCCCTGGAGCCAGCGCCAGCAGCGGCGGCACGTGGCCGTGAAGCTCCGTACCGAGGTACGGCGCCGTCTGGGGATTGACCCGCAGCGCGATGTCAAAGTCCCAGCCATACGGTACCTCCACAGCAAAGTGTATAATCTTCGTGAAATCGCCTGAAGTAAGGCCCGCATGCAAATGGCTGATGGCTGCAGGCACTTCGCCGGTTAGGTGGTCGTTGTACCAACCGTCGTTACCGTTGTTTTCTGGGCCCATACTGTGCGTGTTGGCAATCCACGGAGGGAAGTACGCAAAGTTCTCGGGCGGTACGGCATCCGCCGCCGCCGCAGTAGAGGGATCGTCAGGGTCGGGAAAGGGCGCCGCACCCCCACCTGTCATAACGAGGAGGGGTATACAAGCGAGGAGGTTTGCGGGCGGAAGGTAAGGGAGGCAGCCCACAGCGAGTCAGTTAGCTGAGGCCACGAGTCCAAAACTATGAACCCCGCGGGGCCCGAGGACCAACCATAAGGCCAATCAGGAGCCCGAGGCAGCCCAAGCAGCCTCCTCCTCCCCACCCCCCATGCTCCAGCCCCTGCTGCCCCTGCCGCCCGGCCTGCAAGCTCTTCAGATGGCGGGTTGCCACGTCCCCGACCCCACCTGCCCCTAGTTCCCCCACCCCCACACAAAGGCCCCCGGATCCCACCGCACTGCCCGTCTCCCCCACCCACCCGCCTCCCTGAACAGGTTCACCACATGGGTGGCCAGGGGCCCCAGGGTGGGGTTGAAGGGGTAGCCGCCCCGCTCCGAGGGCCACTGACCCCGGGCGTGGGGGATACGCAGCGGGGCCATCACCATCTCCCCGGTGGCGGCGCCGCCGGAACCCCGACGCAGCGGCTCCGGAACCGGCACGTGAACGGACACATAGGGCCCAGCGCCGTCCGGCCCTTGCGGCCCTGCTATCCGGTAGGTGGCCATGTGCAGCTTCTCCCACTCGGCCCGACCGGGATGGTGCCAAAACACACACTCGAAGATCTGGACGCGGAGTGGAGCCCATGTGTGTGTGGGGGGGGGGAGAAACCGTGGGCGGGGAGAGGCCGTAACCGTCAGACGTCAGGAAGCCGCAACCGCCGAGGCCGCACGGGAGCGGAGGAAGGCGGCTGCGAGGCAGTATGGGATGAGGCACAGGCGGAAGATGCTCGCATCGCGTTATAGAGGGGGACGAGGAGGCAGAGAGGGATAGGTGGGAGGAAGGGTTAAGCGGCGAGGTGGCGGGAGAAGACAGGACGCCAGCGGCTGCCCGGAGAGCCTTTCTGGCCCTGTCGTGATATGTGTGTCCAGCGGGCGCCGTGGCCCCGGGTGGGCGCCCCCCCGCCCTCCCGCCGCCCACCTGCGGTGTCCCGGTAATGGCTCCGTGCACCGAGTCACTTAGGGAGAACTGGTCGTTGCAAAGGAAGTCCTTGTTGATGCCGGTGGTGGTGTCCTCGGGACCCAGACCCACAGCCAGCCGGAGAGGTCGCGAGTCCTCGTACCTGAACATGCGGGGGGGGGGCGGGAGGGGCGGGAGGGGCCATCAGGGCCATCAGGACCGGGCTCTGTCACATGTGGGTGGGTCATAAGTTTCCTCTAGCCACATTCGTACACACACCCGAATACACACCATCACGCACCAGCGCACATTCTTCAGGATGTGGTCGTACAAAGCATACGCCACTGGCCCGTCTCGTTTGGCGTTTTGGATGTAGTACATGCTGTCAGGGAAGGGAGGGAGTTTCCAGAATGTAAGGGTACGCGGAGAAGCAGCGGGAGGGGGAGAGCCCGCCCCCGTGAGGAAACACACGCAAATACACCCACAAGCACGCCTTGGGAGTCAGTGCAAGTGTCTCCTTTTCACGCACAAGATGTAGACGAGGTCGTGCAGGCGACTTGGACTGCATTAGAGATGGAACCACGTAGGGCCCCCCCTGCAGTCCGCAGATACACCACATGCGCAGCGACCCACTCCCTCCAATGCCAGCAGGGCTTCTAATGTACGGCACCTTCTGGGCAAGACGCATGTGAAGCCATAAACGTCTAGCTGCGTCCATCACGCAATGGGCTAAGAGGGCTGAACAGTCCCAAACTGTCAAAAGGCGCCGCTACCTCACCCGCCGTTGACGTTGAAATTCCCTTCCCGCTGATTAAAGAGGGTCACATTGTTGTACGGCGGGCTCCGAACCATTGAATAGAAGTCGTACAGCGGCATGGTGTCGGCATCCGCAACTAATACGTTGTAGCCCATGCGCACTGCGCGGGCGCCCGTGTAGTGGATCAGCCACTTGTCGGTGCAACCTTTGCAGCCTCCCTCCTGCTTCGTAATCCAAGCCATAGTATTGTGGTCTTCATACCACCCACATCCAAGCTTATGGAAAGCAGACTGGAGCCGATGGCAGAATACGTGGTCGGGGAACACCATCATGACGTGCCCATAGCCAAAGCGCTGCCAGCGGTGCACCATCTGGTACGCAAAGTCTAGCTGGGCATGGTGCGCGATGACGATTTCTCCCTTGTAGGATAAGTTGTCAAGAGCATTCTGGAGGTTCTTGGTGGTGTCCAGGGGCCCCACGTAACCAGTGATGTGCTCAAAGCTACAAAAGTCTCCGCATCGTGCTGGAAGTGGCGGGGTTTCGGCATTCGCCTTTGACACAAATAATCCTATGACAAGAATTAAAATCAACGGTTTGGTAGTTTTTGCGCTCCCGGCCCTGCGGGCCCGCATGTTCGGTGCAAGCCAAATGCAACAGGTAGGTGGAAATCAAATAATACCGCCAGGGTTTTGCATCGAAGCGAGGCATAGATAAGATCTGCGGTTTCGATTTGACGAGTAATGCAGCAGCATGAATCAGCTTAGTTCCCAAGAATGTTTTGAAGTCTGCATGCCGTACCGCATCAATCACAGGCTCGGCACTTACGCATAATTGTTATTTCCAGTGTACCTTTAGACTTCTGTATGGGTATGCATAATCATTGGCAGTCAGATTCGTCGAGGCAGGCAGCTATTTTATGGGCAAGCTTCTGTAGGTTGCGATCCTTCTAAAGAGACGTTATGCTTTTGTCGATGAAGACTGTCTGATAATCACCAAGATTAACTGATTGAGCTCGAAAGCATGACCGCAGTTGAGGGTGCACTCCACAGGCATAACGAGATTAGGACAGCGCTGAGGTTTTTCCTGAACTCTTGGTACAAGCATCGACAGGCGACCAGCGTTGCAGAACCTAAAGACGTTTTGTCAGAATTCCTGCGATACAAAGCATACACTTCGTCAATCCAGGCCCTTTACACTCCGCCGGAAGCTCCTAAGGACCGAGGTCGCCGGCGTTCGTAGAGGCTATATCGTAGTGGAATTGGTAGCTGCGAGATGAGCGATAACCGCACGTCATCAGCTTCCGGAGCTGCCCCGGTTACTCGAGGAAGCGACGCTCGCAATTGGGCTGCCCGTAAGAGCACGACATCATCCGTTGGATGGTCCGGCCTAACGGGTCGTGGCAGCGAGACTGACCCAGGCTCACAGCGTCAAGGCATCCCCGCAGCGACTGCAAATCCTTGTCCTTTACTTTCCGTCCCACCTTGCTGGGGTGCCATCAAACCCAGAAACCAGCACCAGAAGCTGACGTTGATGCAGTCAGCCCACAGCCCTCTGGCCAGCATTAGTGCAGCTTTTTCGCACCTGCAAACCCGTGCGGCGGATGCTGCAGCTGCCCTGTTCCCAGCCGGCCACTTGGCGGCAGCTTTAGAAAACACCAGCGACATTCAACGCCGCGTTTCGCTTAGTGATCAGTCAGCCCAGTCCATGATCACTGGTAAAGATCGAGGTTCCTATGTTCTTCCCTTCGCTCGCGTCACTGTTAGCGGCCCTTCCGTGTCGCACACAGCGCCGGTTGAAGCTCCAACGTCAGGCGTTGCAAGTGCTGCCGCGGCTGGACTTGCTGCTGCTGCTAAGGCCGAGGTGGGTCGCGCTACGTGGACGCTTCTCCACACCTTGGCGGCACAGTTCCCGGAGCGTCCCACGCGGCAGCAACGGCGTGACGCGCGCACGCTGGTGGACTGCCTCACACGCATCTACCCGTGCGGGGACTGCGCCCGCCATTTCGCTGAGCTGGTCAGGTGGGTGGTCATGGCCCCGCTGTGCTATCTGCGTGCGAGTACTGTGGTGCTGCTTCTATTGGCGGACTGGCAATACAGGTGACCGAGTGGATAAGGTGCAGGGCCGCATTATCTTATGAGTGCAGCTTCGCAGCTCCTGCAGCCGCTTTTCCTTTCGTTTCCCAAGCGTGGCGTGCGCGCTGGGACTTCCCGTTCGGTTCCCCTAAACGGGATGAGCCGAAGGGTAAATTCCTTGTCCCCATTGGGTTGTCACCTTCGGAGAAGGTAACCCAAAGGGGGACAAGGAAAGCGTCACCATTACCTATTCAGTTTTTATATATGTGTTTCGCCCCCGGTTTGTTATGTAATGTATATAAATATATTATATTATATTGTATTGTATTATATTATATTATATTATATATATGAGCCTTTATCCGGCCGATATTATTATATATATTACTATTATTATTATTATTATTATTTTTATTATTATTATTATTAGTATTATTATTATTACATATCTAGGCCGGATAAAGGCTCATATATATATATATATATATATATATATATATAATGCTATGTTAAAATTGTAAATATGAGCCTTTATCCGCCTTCGGCCGGATAGTTCAACCAAAACTACAAATACATTTAATTACTTAGAGGCTCCGCCCCTTTCCTTGTCTTCCCCTTGTCATCAGTCATCACCTTATGGGAACCAAAGGGTTGTCATTCCCTTTGGTTCTCCTAAACGGGACGAACACGAAAGGGGACAGACAACCCCTTTGGAACCCCAAAGTTCTTTAGGGGATGAACTCTTCCCCTTTAGGGGAAGTTATGCCCCTCATAGGGATCCGAGGTTCTTGCCCTACTTGAAGTCCAGACAACCAGATGATAAGTGTTTTCCCAGACGGAATGATTGGGTTAAGAAAGAGTGTCCATGTGACCCACGAAATCCTACCTGACGCATGTCTTATTGAGCGATGCTCAGATGCTCGTGCCCGGCTGAAGTCCCTGAACATGATGGTCTTCTTCGCAAGTTCTGTCACCTCCGAGGCACATCCTATATTCTGCCTGGCCCCGCCCTCCTTTGCTTCTGGGGCCCCTGCCGCTGCTACAGGCGGGATCCGCCGGTCGTCAGCTCGGGTCCTGCGTTCCGGCGCTGGCTGTGTCAGATCCACAACCGGGTCAACGCGCGCCTGGGCAAGCCACTTTTCAACTGCGACCTAGTGGAGAGCCGCTGGGCACCTCTGGGCTGCTCTGCGGTCGAGGCGGCGACAGGCGAGGGGGGCTTCAACGCATCGGAGCCGGGCTGTGAGCTGTTGGGGGTGGGGGCCAGGGCTCCACCGCCGCGACGGCGGAACGAGTGACGCCGTAATCCTATCTGTGTAGAAGTTGCGGATCTCGAGCAAGCGGTATTAATTGCACTCCCGTACACCGTGTTTGTAGTGCTGAGGCGTGGTTTGAGCCGGTATGCTTAGGTTCTGACTCCACCGGTAGCAAGCTTCCCCGTTGTGTTTATCCGTCTTCACGTGTGCCGGTTCCTGGATTGCCTGGCTTGGCCGGCCAAGCAGCTATTGTCTAATTTTGGCGGCGTAATTTGGCCAGGGAGGTTTCCTTAGTCTTTTGTCCAAGTGCTTAGACTTCGACCGGCTAGGTGTTGATTGTAGCATTTAGATGCGTGGGGTGAGTTGCTGCTGTCGGAACGAGAGAAGAGGCTTGGGTACGTACATATTTGAAACATCGTGGGCAGTGTACAAAAGGCGCCGTCGGACACTAGCTAATAGTATTCACACCAGCAACGGAAATCCAGGTTAGGAGCAGACAGCTGTGCTGCGTATTTCCAGTGTCCGCATCATTCAGACCAAACCGAAACAACGGCCCGGCTACAACTCTCCGAAACGAAGCTGTGCTGAGGACTTACTGCTCTATCACTACAGAACACCACAGCGAGGAAGACCAAATTGAAAAGAGCAACAACTGCAAATGCAATAAGGGTAGCAACTGCAAATGGAAAAGGATAGCAACTACGCGCTGCAAATAGGGAAAATAAAACAAATAAAAGAGGAAATTCATGAGCTGCTAGCATGAATTCCCTTTTTTACCTGTTTACCGTCCCTACGAGATACGGTAACTCTGTTACGATCCCTGCACATCCCAACACACAACTCGGAAAGGAAAATGTCGACAGGAGCGGCGCCACACCTCTGAACATGCTCACTTAACTCATCCTGCACTATACTCCACAAGAACGCATCCTGTCTGGTTGCTACAAAACGCCCTCGAGCGCTTATGGAAAGCCTCCCGGCGTATGTCATTCTTCCAGTCCCAGTCTTAAGTTGCGACGTTCTCGTGTGGCACGGGAGCCAAAGGTATTGGGATGCGTAGTGCCTTGTCCCCGCTTGCAAGGGTCCCCAGGCGGAGCGGGACTTCTGGTTCTCAGAAGAAGGGGTGGGGGAAGTCGCCCATCCTGCGGGGCACAGACATGGCAGTTGGATTGTCAAGACCGCCCGACAATTCGTTCTAACGAAAAAATTCGGTGGTCCGTCATGTGTTGTGTGCAGGTCCTACGGCGCAGTTTACGATGAGGCCACCGACACACTGGCGAAACCAATCACATATTCCTTGTTCCCATACGACTGCAAAGCCATCTTCCACCCTCCCCCCTGTTCTCCTGCGACGCGTCTAGTGTGGAGCGACACTGTATCTGATAAAGGAAAACCTCGACGCCCGACCCCCCCAACCAATTACCCTCCGATGCACCTTCGCCTGTGCGGCGCGGCCACTCCTTGCTGCTCCAGATACTCCGTCTGATGCTCTGCAATCCACTCCGCTAGCTCCGAAGCCTTCATGGCCTTAGTACCAGCAGGTGTAGGGGTCCAGGGCAGATGCTGTGCCCGCATGGAATCCAGTTCCGCCACGTTGAAGTCACGTTGGAGCTTGTGGGCAAGCGCCTCGCGGGTGGCGCCACCCTGGATGCGGTTCTTGTGCAGGAAGCGGAGCAGCTTGTCGTTGAGCTGGGGCAGGCGGGGCTGCAGCACTGACAGCACCTGTATAGAGGAGGAAAGGGCAGCATCAGCGGAAAGTCAATTTGAGGACAAGAAGGGGAAGGTGGAAAGTATTGCGGAGAAACATCAGAGAAGCATCAAACGAAACAGAGGCACGCCTAGGCACTCACGCAAACAGATACAGATACGCACAGGCTCGGGATGTTGCCTTCACAAGCACGTACCTTTTTGGCCATCGGGTCCGCGCGGACGTGCTCCCCAAGCGCCGCCACGAAGCCCTCTAAGCGGTTCAGCCGCCCCACCTCCTCCCCGCTCAGCAGCGCGGAGCCCTGATACGTCCAGGCCGCTCGCTGCCCCTGCCCCTGTCCCTGTCCTCCGGCACTGGTCCCGGCAGCGCCGCCCGTGGTTCCCGTCAGTGTGGCTCCGGGAAGCTGCGACATCTGGCCGCCCAGCCCCGCCATAAGCGCGGCCTCCAAGCTGGACAGCGGCGCGGAGACCTGGGCGAATACCTGGCTCTGGCCTAGCTGCTGCTGGGCTTGCTGGCTGTGAGCCTGCGGCTTGCCCTGCGCTAGCTGCTGCACGGTGGGCGGGGGGTACTTTGTGGCGTTCTCCCGGATACAGTCCATGGCCAGGTCGAGACTCAGCTTGTTGATGCGTATTATGTCGTCCACCAACAGGGCCTGCGGCAGTTGGGAGTAGAAAGGGGAAGTACCACCGTTACGGAAGGGAAGGATCTAGAGCTCCAACGAAGCATGGAACGCAGCAGGATTACTGAATGGTGATGATGCACGCGGCGGGAACTAACCCTCATAAACAAAAGCTCCGAAAGGGAAGGGGGCGGCATGGGGTGTGAGAGACTCAGAGCGGGACTGCACAGCAAAATATGCTTGGCCGCAGAAGTGGTGTGGAGACGGCTTTGTATACCAGCCATTGCGGCTGCACAATATGCATAACAGGAGGAGCAAAGCCCTAAGGGAGTCGAAAGCCCTTCACAGCACGTAGTAACATCGCACGATATCACGACAAACTGGCTAAAGTATAGCCAGCTCACCACCGCCGGTTCCTTCTCCTCGAGGGGAATGTTTGCATCGCCTCCGCCGCGGTGCAGCTCCTCCTCGAGAGGGTGCGGCGGCGGCGGACAGCAGGTCCCGAGCAGCCAGCGGGAGCCCACCCACACCCGCAGCATGGTCACCGCACATCGCACATGCGGCTGCCGTAGGGATCCCAGGGCCACCACAGCAGGTGCGTCCATACGGCGTTGCCAGGTGAGGCTGTGGGAGGACGAGGTACCCGGGGCCAGAGCGCGGGTGCCCACCTGCGCGGATAGCGACGTGAAGGGAGCAGAGTGGGAGGAATGGAAGTAAGCAATCGCCCCCAATCAGGGTGCACGCCAAGCCGAGTGGGCACATTGAGCGGCTTGTGAGGTGGGCCCCCAAGTTATCGGAGCGAAGGAGAGGCGGTTTGCAACTGAGCTGCGTTGCCGCTGTGCGTCTATCCCCAAGCCGTCCCTCCAGCCTCTTCCCTCACCGCACGAGTTCATTAATCCAATCTGGAACCGGCTTAACCTCCGACCCGCCCGCCCGCCCACCTGGCACACCTACTGCACATATATAGCGTTTGTGACTCCTCATCGTTCCTTCCCAGCCAGAACATTAGTGCTACGCCTCACTCCACCCCACCTCATGGCCCCAGCCAGCCAAACCCCAATCCTCCCACCTGCATGGCCAGGTGTACGTCATCTAAATCCCTGGAGGCCCCCCTGAATACCGCCATCAGACCCGGGTCACGACGCATCAGCTGTAGCACCAACCGCCACACTGTCACGGAGTAGCGGGGACTGTAGCTGCGGCTCACGCACGTAGCGGAGGCCCAGGTTACGGTGCTGCCGGCCGGGCTGCCAGTCGGCGGCCCTGGCGGGGGGTTGGTGAAGCCTAGGGGCATTAATGCAGTGGACAGCGCCTCCGCGGGTGGCGCAGCTTGCACCTACGGGGCAGATACGGTCAAATAGGTATGGTAGGTAGGCAGGTAGGAGAGGTCGACAGTATCCGAGTCCGTTCTTGAGGTTTCTCATGCCACATCACAGCAACCGAACCGCGGTACCTGACAACCACCGGCCAAAATTAAGGCAGCAACCTAGGAAAGATAGCAGCATTGGGCCTCCACATCAAAAGGAAGCCCACAATAATCCGTACTCCGAGGGTGGAATGCATGCACAAACGCAGCAACGCCAAGGTCCTGTGCCCCGCCCGCACGGAAAGGTCCCATCCGCCTCCCTAAGCTAGGGAGGCCCCCAACTGCACCTGCAGGAAACGCATGATTGCCGCGGCCTTCGGGTCGTCCACAGGGAGGTCAATCGCACCCACCCCCAGCAACAGCCGCAGCGCAACGTGCAGGGACAGCGGCTCCATCGTCCAGCCCATTGAGGCCGGCATCGTGGCTGCTGGCCGCTGTCCCCGGTCTTCCCAATCCTCATCCACCACATCGATGTTCGGCGGGTCCGGGTAGCGGTATGCCGCCGCAACTGCAGCCGCCGCTGCGGCCGCAGCTGCTGCCGCCGCTGCTCCGCCGCGGCCCCGGCGTCCTCCTGTCGCCTGCACCGCCGCTGCCGTCGCCGCCGGCACTCCTGTCAGCGGCCTCGCTGAGAGATCAAGCGTCATGGCGTCGGCGCCACCAGCGGGCCCCCGCGAACCTGCTGCACCTCCCCCGGGGGCCCTTGCCCCTGCCGTACTACCCCAGCCTGCCAGAGCCGACGCTGTCACAGGAGCTTGTGCACCCACCAGCGTAACTCGCTGCAACCCCAATGACCGCCCTCCAGGGCCTCCTCCGAGCTCCAACGCTACGCTACCTCCACCATTCATCGCATGCTGTACCGGCAACAGCAGCTCCAGGCGTCGTGGGGATAACTGGTCGGCCCCCGCCGCGAAGGCGGAGGTTGCGGCAGCGACACCTCCAATGCCGCCGGACGCCCGCCCAGAGGCAGAGCCACGCGCGGTTGGAGAAGCTGTGGGCGAAGGCGCTCCAGGTGCTGCGCCTGCCGAGCGGGTCAAGTCCATAACAAGGCTGGCTGTGCGAAGGGCGGCCACTGAGCCCTCGGACAGAACCAGCGTGAACGCCACCTAGACACGGGGGTAATCGGGGGGGGGGGAAGTGAATGGCGGAAACACGCACATGACATTCCGCTGCGGAGGTCCAATAATGTTACGTTAAACTTTAGGAGTGCATGTAGGCGCTGCCAAAGCTGTGTGGGGATGTTTGCCCGCCGCGAGGTTAGGTCGACGCAAAGGGGCCCAGGAAGTTTAAGTTAGCGCTCAGGATGGCCTGGTGGGGTTGCACGCAGCCTACGCCCTCCGCCGTACCCACCCGTTCCGCCAGGTCGTCTGTGACCGCCAAGGAGCCGGCGGCCATGCTCTTGATCACAGCTGCGCGCCGCGGTCGGCCACTCGCCATTGGCTGTTGCTGGTGCTCGGTTGGCGATGAAGCCGGAGCAGCAACCCGCTCAGCCATCCATCGTTCCAGAACGCGCCTGCACAGCAACACGGGCAAGCTAGAGCTTTAGGTGGGGCGGGTCCCCCGTTTATGACATGGTCAGCAACGACCCGTACACGAGGCAACAGCGAGTGAGTCAGCCTGTGCATTATGTAGATCCCCTGTTATTGAGGTGGAGGAAGTTCTGCCCACTGTGGATAGTGCTGAGTTTCAGCGTAGGGAGATGTAGAGACATAACAACATGGCGACACGCATGCAAGCAGGCAAAGGGACAGCCCCAAGGTAGCGCTGGAGAATCACCACCAACGGCCTTCTCACCCAGGCTCTCACACAAGTGAAAATCGCGTGCTAAAAGACATTCAGGTCACCAGTACCCTGGACTAGGGTATAAGCTGAAAACGGCTACGTCCGAACCCTACCTCAGTGGTACTTACCTTAACCCCGCTCGGTATTCCGCGCTGCGCCACGCGTCATTGCCAGCCAGGCTGCTGGCCCGACCCGCGTCCGGGAGCACTGCCCGGGCCAGAAGCTGCCGAGCCGAGTCCACAAAGCCCGAGTTGGAGCCCTCTGGAGAGTGTGGGGGCCATGTGGCAAGGAAGCATCGGAATCAGGCGGAGCGGGGCGATAGCAAAAATGGATAAAAGCGAGTAACACCAAACTACAGATCACCCGAGCTCACGTGACACTCTGAAAGGCCCCACGATGAAAAGAATTTAGTGTACTGAAACCTAGGACAGGAGGTGGGGCCATGTAATGCAGATTCCAACCGGAAAGGGCCGGGGCTACAACTGCGTCATTCCCCAGCTCCCAATCCCCCAGTCATTCCCGGCTCTTAATGCTGTATGGTGCTCGCTGTCCTCAACTCCTAATCCCACGCCCAAGACCTCCGCCGCCTTACCGTGCGCCACCACATTCAGCAGCGTGCACGCCAGCGGAAGCAGCTCCGGGCCCCGGAACTGCCCCGTGCGCTCCACCAGCTGCCGCAACATGACCCGCGGGTCCCCAGCTGCGTGTTGCGAAGCGCCTGCCCCCGGCTGGATGGGGGAGGTTTCCCTGCCGTCACCCACACCGGAGGAGCTGCTCCGCCGGCTCTTCCCGCCGCCGTTTACGGATGTCTGCGGCTCCGCTGCCTCTGCGGCGGTGACGGCGGCCATTTCCTCCTGCAGTCGCTCTCCCACCCATTTAAGAACGTGCCAGACCCAGGAGCGGTGGCCGGTGGTGGCGGCTGAGGAGATGGTCGCGGATGCACGGCCAATTATGTGCAAAGTAGCCCAGCTGGGCGATGAGCACTTATCCTGCGTGAGGCCAGAGGGCATGAAAGGCAATCATTTGCAAAAATACAAGGAATGAACCGCCGGCGTCGTCTTCAGGGCACGGGTGGAAGGGTGGGAAATAGGGGCACGCAGATGACGGCACGGCGGAAGGGCGGACTCGTCCGGGAGGGCGACTCCAGCCCTTTCGATCCTCCAACCCAAAAGCCACAAGGAACCCATTCCGCCTACGTGACATCACATCACGTTGCACAGGCTGCACGGAGACGATCGACCTACCGCAATCCAGGTATCGATGCCTCCCTGGCCGTTAGCAGCCGCACACACGAGATCCAGCTCCCGCACCACCATCAGCGCATCCACCTGGTTCTGCAGCCCCAGGTTGGCCGCTTGGGCCAGCGCGTGGGAGGGAGGGCCCTGCAGCAACCCCACTCCACTCGCGCCGGGGCCCACCAGAGCCACATGGACGGGCCGCAACGACCTAGCCAGCATTGCCACGTCCGTCCGGAAATTGGACAGCTGTCTGCGCTCTTCCGCAGCCTCGTTTTCCAAGATACGCGTGGCGGAGGCGACGGCACGCGAGGCGGCGTCGAAGATGGTGGACACGGGCACTCGGGCGCCGCGTGCCCACTCCAGAAGAGGGATTTTCATCCTGTCGAAAGGTTTCGCAAAAGGCCGTGGCGATAGCAACATCCGGTGAACAGGAAGGCAATTCGAATTTTTTTCTGCAACTTCAAGGCAACCAGCTCCAGATGTATTCCTAGCACAGAACGTGTTGCCCACCTGCCCCACCTCAACAAACAAATTCCCTGTCCCTCTAGCCCCGTCCTGACAACCCCCTCCTCCAGGCGGCAATATGCGATAGGCGAATCCCCACAGCCCACCTACTTGAAGTCCAGCTCGTTGTCCGGCATGGCCGCCACCGCCGTCACGAACGCCTGTTGCACTTCCCGTGGCGCCGACCTGAGCGGCCCCAGCAGGCACTCCCGCATGGCTGCAACCACCCAGACACGCAGGCTGTTGTCCGCCATGGTCATCTCGTACAGGGACGACCCGGCGCCGCCACCCTCGAAAAGTTGCTCCTGTTCTCGTTCATCGCGACAAATGGGAATGGCGGGGAGAGCATGAGACATCCGCAACACAGCGAAACCCTAACATGCTTAGGAACAGTTTCGCTACTCCTGGCACGGGAATTTCCGCTCTTCCGTTGGCTAGCTGGCTTTTCAGCACCCTTCTAAACCTAATCCTACCCGCGCGCCTGGTCCCAAATCTACCATACATGCTTTCATACAACTTTATTTCCTCCCGCCCCGTCCAGTTGCAGCCATCAGCACGGGCCCCCAATCACTCACGTGCTTTATGTTATTCCTGGTGGCCACCTTGCTGAGCAGCGCCATCACCGCCGTGACTGCCTCGCTGCAACCCAGCAGGCAACGGGGCAGCTCGCAGCGCAGCAGCAGCAGCGTCACCGCCAGGTTGGCCACCGCAGACCGGGCCTCTGACGGCTCCAGACGCCGCAGCCGCCACTCGCCCACCCCACGGCCCTCGACCTCCGCTTCCGCGGCGGCAGCGGCCTCTGCTTCCGCGCCCTGCGGGTATGGCCCTGTCTCAGCAGTACCCGCTCCGGAACCCTTATTGATGGCGCCTGCGGCCGGGAAAGTGGCGACCGCGGCCAGGCCGCAGTTGGGTAGTGCGTGCTGGTGGGGTTGCTGCGGAGCAGCACCTCCCCCTTTGCTCTGCTTTTGCTGCTCCCGTGCCGTCACTTGCTGCAGCACTTCCACAAAGACCGGCGTCAGCTCCATAAGGCATGCTGTAGGACGCCACATCAGGGAAGCGGTGTGAAAGGCCAGTTTGGAGGTTAGAACCCATCATGAATGTATCCGGTCGTAGGTAAACAGAACAACCACCTTCCTCCCCCCACGCATGCACCGTAGGAGTGCGCTTGTCGCTATGCGCCGTCCTTTCGTTTGAGAACAAAACCCAACGCAGGTGGGCGCCTTAGGTAAGATCACGCCTACTCCAGCAGCTCCTTGTTTGACATCCCGAGAGCCCCTCCTACACACTACAGATTCTGACTCCCTTTTGCATGTAACACCAGATACGGCACATCTCCCTGTGCCCTGGGCCGCAACCCCAACTGGCAACCGAACGGCTGAGGAGTGGCCGTCCGGGGCCCCGAAACTCTTAGCGACATCCAGCAACACTCCAGTAAAAACCAACCTAAGACCATATGCCTCCTGTGCCCCCTCATCCCCAGTCCCTTCATCCATCCCCCTCCATTATCACTCCCTCACAACACGGCCTTACCTGCGTACCAGGGCAGCTGCCCTACTGCCGGCATAGTGCCATGCGGATGGCTCCTCGCCTGCGTAAAGTTGCTGTAGTCCACGGCTGTCGAGGCCAGCGCCCGGGCGGCCACCGCCACTGCGGCCTCCTTCAGTCCAGCCCTCGCCATCGCCAGCCCCAAATGCGCCAAAGGGAGGCCGTAGCGGCGCGAGGCGGCCAGCCCCATGGCGGCCAGCACTCGACGGCGGCCGGGTAGGTCCGCGGGGCCGGAGAAGGCGGCACACACCCAGGCGGTCAGGACCTGCGGCAGGACGCGGCAATAACGGGCCATGGCAACGCTAGGTACGACAGGGTCGAGAGAGTTTTGCAGGTATGTTGGACTGGCGTCTGTCTGAGTAAGTGAAAAAAACTTTAAGTTAAATGGGCGCTTGGGATGAGTAGCTGTAAAAGATCCCCTCCCTGAATGCCGTCCTGAGTCTTGGATTGCGATGTCCACAACCCCGTCATTACGACGACAGCTGGAAAGTCCTTCCACTTCTATTTACCAAGCAATAATCTATAATAATCTGTTAGCCCGTAACCTAAAATAGCAAAGAATAATAACCTACACGTACAAGCCGGGCACAATCCAATGAGCCCAGACTACATATTAACATATTTACCACTTAGGAGGGGTTTCACAGTCTGGAACTGTAAAAGTACTTATGGATGTAATGAACGCTAGACACCGAACAATACCACCTACCTATCGCAGCTGCACATGAGGCAAAAGATTATATACGTACCGCTATTCTAAAACCAGCGCCCACTTCCTTTTCCTAGTCATCTTCTCCTGCGTGTTTCCGCCCACCCGCGGGCCCTCCCAGCCTCAGCCACCCCGCTCACCAGCAGGTTGTTGTTCTCCATCGTCACCACCACCTCCCGCAGCTGGCCCGCCTCGTCGCGGTCGGTGGCGTACCTGTTGCAGGGCCATGAGAGCAGGCCAAGAGCACAAACCGGCTCGCCGAAATAGAGTCGCGATGCATTTGCGCCTTGCAAAACAAAGACCACGACTTTGCGGAAAAGCCAATCACGCGGCCATTAGCCAAATCGCTCTGTTCCCTTTTCATTGCCACACGTCCTTTCCCTTCCCACAGGGTCATGCAACAAGGCGCCCTGGTGCATTCTTGTTTGCTTCGTCACAAATACCTAGACCTTCCCAGCCAAGAGAGGGCGTGCTAGACGAACATGCGAGCCGTTTGTTCATCTCCTTGAGCGGGAGGGAGCATTTGGTTTTTACCGCAACTTGTTGGCGCTCACCTGTAACCCCGCGCCGTGATGAAGGCCTGCCAGCTCGACGCCGGGAGGCCCTTGAGGCAGGGCCCCTCCCCTCCGCGGCTCTCCACTCGGGAGGTATGACGCAGGGGGGCGCAGGTGACCATCTCATTGGCAAAGTCCTCCATACTGTGTGGGAGATGACACGTGAGATGATGCGGGTGTGGCAGCAGGAAAATCAAGGGGTCAAGAGATGTTGGCACTTAGGTCACTTGGGCTCTCAGGGGAATGCGACCTCGCAAACGGTGCAATTTGGCCTAACGCCGGGCATTCGCGGCTGTGACAGGTTCGTGTGTAACTGTCCATTGCAAGGATTACCGCACAAACGGACCCGTGGGTCATGCAGCTATGGATGAAGAATTTTACGCGCAATGCCCTCGCTCCGTGCGAGATGTGAATAATAATACTGACGCACCATCCGCATGATAGCATTACGGTCATAGGGCTGCACACCTGGGTTTGCTTGGGATGCTTCGCATGTGGTGTTCCACGCACACCACCGCTCCCGCCATGAGGGGAGCCACCAGGTGGGCACTGCTGCCCCGGCCCCGAATGTACTGCGGCAGAGGAAAGGAGCGAGAGGGGGAAAAGAGGCATAGACGGAAGCTTGCGCTCGCGGCAAGTAAATCTGGGTCCCGCTTGGCACTGACAAGGAAATACAGATCCCCAATACAGACGGCATGGGATGCCCACCCCCTATGCTGAAACACTGAGGTAATAAACAGCATCAGTGGAAGGAGGGGTTAGACGAACCACTGGCGAGTGAAGCAGTAAACCAGAAAATGACGGAAGGGGGGGAAAATGGAGGCATGGAAGGGCGGAAACAAGACTGCGTTTTAGATAAACGGTGGCAAGGCCCTGACACCTGCTGGACCTACACATGTCCCCTTACGGCCCACTCTCCGCTGGGGCCCCTTGGGGCAGACTCGTACATGGACACGCACGCAATGCACACCTGTGCCAGGGCGAACAGGTTTTGTTCCCCCTCGATCTTCATCAGACGCCTAGACAGGATGTGGGAGGCGCAGGAGACCAGCAGGACTGCAAGCTCGTGCGGACCCTTGTGTGTGGGGCCAGCCGGAGCCTCGGGAGCCGCAGCAGCGGTGGCAGATCCGCCTCCATTGCCGCCTCCGCCACCATTGCCTCTCTCTGCCCCGGACCTGCCAATAGTTACCTCAGACCCCGAGCCTGCACCCGCTCCAGTGCCGGTGGGGCCCGATCCTGTCTGTGCGAGGCGTCGGCGACGGAACCGCAATCGACCAGGACTGCTGCCGCCGCTTCCTGATGCGAGCCCAGCGCCCGTTCGATCGCCCCCACTTCCGTTGCCACCACCGGCGCCGCCGCCGCTGCACCTGACCCCGCTGCCGTGCTCCACACCTGACCCGGCCGCACCCATGCGTCCTGCAGACCCCGTGAAGCCCTTCTCCCCACTGACGCCCGCCGTCCTCTGCTCCCCCTCGCCATCCATGTCCATCGGCGCAGGCCCAGTTAACTCCTCGCAGTTGCCGCCCTCGTCCTCGCATCGCCACACCCCATCCATTAGATCTTCCGTGTCCACATCGGTGTCGGCGTGTGCACAGCCCTCGCCGCCGACTGCGGTGCCCGCCTCAGGCTCCCCCTCCGGGCCCCCCTCTAACACTTCCCACCCCTCCGAGTCGGTGTCGTGCTCGCCATGGGCATCCCGGTTCTCCCGATCCTCAGCCGCATCAGCTGTGAAGAGGAGAGGATCACAGGAGGTCGTCAGTTCTGAGGTTGAAGTGGTGCTGTTTCTGTTTCTGTCACTTTAAGGGCAGCCGCAATGCTTGCTCAAATACTTGCTAGATCACAGCTCTGCTCTGAGGCGTGAGGCTTCCGTCTAGACATCCGGATTTGAAACAAGTCGTGTGTGTGGCGGCGGGCGGGGGGAAGGGCAGCCAACAGTGGGTACTTGCCAATAGGGGGCGACTCGCACACGAGGCGGGTCTTCCATCCCTTGCACAAAACTTCGTGGTGTCTTGTGCTCACCATGTCTCTCAGCTTCCAGCAGCATGGCCCGCAGCGCTTGGCGGTCCTCGCGCAGCAGCTGCCGCTGCTCACGCCGCCGCCGCCGCTGCTCATCGCGACGAGCCTCACGATCCGCGTAAAGCATGCCTCCGTATGGGAAGCCCCTACATAATGGACGAAGCCCCGAGCGATATATCAAACTGCATTAAATGACAATACTTCGAACACCAGTGCTTTAAGGCGTCAACGGCTTACGTCACAAGTTGGGCCCATCCCCTAAAGTTCTTCCCCTAAAGGGAAACTTTCGTTTCCCTTTTATTGGAATAACTAAGGGGGACAACCCTTCAAGGGACGATATGGATGGATGGATAGGTGTACTGCGATGTAAGAAGAAGATGCGCTTTAGGCGTCAACGTGTTCGGGTATCATATCGCTAACCATGGCATGCACGGACTGCATCCTTAGGGCCAGCTGGACCCCAGGCTGCAAACTGAGACGCTGATGCGGTGGATAGGGGATTGTCCGGGCAAGAGGACAGCAAGGCAGAGTTTGCGTACAGGGCTGGGCGCCATTAGTAACGGGCATTTCGAGCTCATTAGTGCGAAAACCCAACACGGGGAGAACTCCACCACGGGCTGTATACCGTGTAGCCCTCGTCCACACGCGCTATGCTAGGTATAAAATCTGCGGCCTCATGTGAGCCAGCCCGCCGGGGTAGCTTTCCGTACGGGAGCGACTGGCAACCCATCTACCAGTGGCTTTTCGTACAGGTCAAGCTATCGCGCAGGTCTTCGGCGGTCATTCGACGTAAGAATGGTCATTCCATATCCCGTCACTCATTAACTATTACGGTACCATTACGGCCATTATCCAATGGCATAGACCAGTGCTCACAGCATGAAGGCTCCGTAGGCGTCCAGGTCGTCCATGCCTTCATCGTCATCGTCGTCATCAGAGAAGTAATCCGTGAATTCATCACTTTCGTCCTCGTCCGAATCGTCCGGGTACGGCTCACCAGGATGGACGCCGTGCCCTCCCAGGTGAAGATCGTCCGGGCCCAGGCCAAGCGCCGCACGCCTGCACAGTGGGGACCAACGCCAACCCCACCCCACACCGCCACTACAAGTTCACAACCCAGCGACGTCGGGACATGTAAGTGCCGGGCTCCTAGTACTGGCCGGCGGAAAGGGCCCAGGGACACGCCGTGGAGAGGTGCGCACACCGCATCGCTAGGCTTTGTATCGTGGCGATGGCGTCCTACCCTTAGCCATCATCGCGACAAAAGCATGAGAGAGCATGCGAGCAGGACGAACGACTTGCAGCACTACTGCACTGATCGCTGAACTTCCCTCATGTACAGATCGCGGCCCTGCATGCCATCTCCGAATATCGTTTAGCCCTCGGCTTCCACTCCAGCCGTCCCACCAGCTGAGTTTAAAAGCCAACACCGTAGGGAGGTCCCCGAACTCTAGAGCCCTGAAAGTCCTACGAAACGCGGCCTGGGCCCCGCCCTGCTGGTCTTGCTCTCAGCCGTACATCGCCCCACACGCACCCTGCCACAACGGCCGCGGCCATCAGTGCTGGCAGCCGATGCTCTGCCGGGGGATCAGTGGCGGCGGTACGCAGCAGCTCCAGCGCCGCCTCCTGCTGGGCGTCCTCCCCGCTAGCTATCGCCACTTCCAGCGCGTGGGCCAGCGAGTCGGCAGATCTGGTCCAGGGTGGGAAAGGGGAGGGGCACGAGCAGGTCAGGGAGGGGAAAACGTACCCGGCGTGCAATCGGATCTGGCACGATGACACACAGGGTTCACAGGAGCGGACAAGAAAATCGGTTACGAGGTGCACGGAGCATCACCAGGCCTGGGCAAAGTCACCCAGCTTAGCCAGCAAATCACTGTCCGGACACACCGTATTAAGGCCATCTGGCAGGCCGCCACCTGCCGCGCCAAAGCAAGCTGCCCCGCTCCCAACAGGTCGGTCACTACCCGGCCCAGCGCCGAGGGGTTGGCTCCGGACGAGTGATGGCAGCTGTACAGCGCGCACAGGGCCACGGTGACGCCTTCCAGTATGGCCTGCGAGGGGGCACGGGCGGTTCGGTTGGATGTTGGTAAGCGGTTCGTACCCAAAGAGGATCGCCCACTTTCCCCTGCACTGCCAGTGATAAACTCCCTTTGCAGTCCAAAATTGGCCTTGTCCGGGATCCGTCGTCGTCTACGTCGCCTCTCCTCCTTCCTCCCTTCCTAGCCCAACCCACCTGCAGCTGCACCCGCTCAGGCATGATTTCCTCACACAGCGTGCCCATGGACTCCTCCACTGTGCCCAACAGCGCCACGTACTCGGCAGGCGTGCGCGGCCGCTCCCGGGGGTCCGCCAGCACCGCCATCATGGGCCGAAACACTGAGCGCACAACCTGCACCGCTAGGCTGTGTACCCGCGGCCCACCACCGGGGCCGCTGCGCGACGAGACGAGCGGAACCACCTGCGGCAGCAACGCAGCAGTTGGTCTGGAGAATGGACAAGTAATGACGCCACCTTGCTGTGCAAGTGCGTCCATACGCCAGCGGCGGCATCATCACATAACTGGACCCATCGCATCTGCCCCTCCATGGCACCGAAACTGGACTTCACCGCGCCGCGCGTCCCTATGCGTTCGGCCAACGAAGCCTTTGCGGCACCAAGCTGGGACTACAAGGACTACGTAAAGACAACCGTGGCTAAAGGCGCTTCGGGATCGAAGGTTCATGGTGAGGGCCTGTGTGGGCATCGCTGTTAGAAACCGCTGCCCATGTACCACCCGTGCACCTTGGTGAAGGCGGCCAGTATTGCGGGGTCCGTTACAAAGCACACGTCCTCATAGCGAAGCTTTGTGTACTGCACGGTCCCAGGCGGCATCTCGCTGGCCAGCAGAGCTGAGGGTAGAGCAGGTTCATGCAAGGTTGGGCGCGGTCAGGTGGCGCGAGGAGAGGGTGGTGTAGGCCAGGGTGAGGAGGGGTAATTGGCGCTGCAGATACTGAGGCAGAGAACATTGGAGGAACCTGTTTGGGAACAAACCTTACCTGGGAATAAGCCATCCCTTCAAACCCGTCGGATCTCTGCACCTATACCACCCCTATCAAACCTACACCCTCCGAGTATCCGGCCTTGGTATCCCACACGCTCTCCCCCGTACCCAGACGTTCCCGGCGCTCCCGGCGACATGCGTCGCAGTCGCAATGCTCCTCCCGCCGGGCCATCGCCGCCCCCATGACGCTATGCCGCATCACAGCGGTAAGCGCATTCATGTACTCCATTGGCCCCCGGCCTGCGGCAGCCGCAAGGTCGCCGGGAGCGCCGCCCGAGGCCCCATCCACGGCCAGCCCGGGTCTTGCTAGTGCCCCGCTATTGCTGTGTCTGCCGTCAATCCTACGGCCTTCCGCATCCGTGTTGCTGCCTGAGGCACCGGATGCACCAGCGCCACCGGCGTTGCCGCCGCCCTCTGTGCGCTCCTGCTCTGATACAATTATTCCCAGCTCGCGCAAAGACTCCACCTCCGCCCGCCAATCTCGCTCCTGTAGGCATGTAAAGGCTTATTAAGGTCAGTAAACGCACGAGGTGCATGGACAACGAAATGGATAACTGTGAAGACACAATCCGGAAAGGGGCCCAGAAACGCACCGATACATTGTCAACACCGTTTGAGTTTGACGGGGAACGCGGAGAAGCGACCAATGTGACGGCTGACACAGGAAAATCGTACACGTCACCGGGCAAGCACGTCGTCGCTCGTTTGCGGACTGCCGAACCGTAAAAGGCATAATCTGTTGAATCAGTAGGCAACTGCCAACGGTATCATATGGCTAGCCCGCAACAAAGATATACTTCCTCTAATAAGCAGAACCCCGTGAGCATACTGCGCTTTTGAACATCGATGGCGGCACCACAGACAGTTGCTTCTACAAATTGTGACCGCCCGCTACAAGGGTCCCCGACCTCAATTCTCCAACCAGGTCTGAGCACACGCGCACCTGGTTTTCAGCCACCAGGGCGATCACGGAGCGTAGCAGGGCCGTGTACGGACTCGGCCGAGTGCCGCCCCCGCCGCCGCTCACGGCGGGTGCGATGGCGGCCAGCAGCGCGGCTGCAGGTGAGGTAGCATCGTTCTGTGCATTCGCGTTGGCACGTAGAAAGCTCATCTCAAAAGTTGCGTTGGGAGAACTGACCGAATTACTTGTGGCGTCGTTCACTGCAGAGGCAAGGACAGGAGCGAGGCGATGTGTACGACGCTGTTGGGTGTTGGCACTTGACAGCCGATCTAGGTCTCGCGCGTCTCCTCCTCTCCAATCCACAACCTTTCCAAACCCCCTCTTATTCTGAGCTACTGCTCACGTACCTATCTTGATGCTTAGCGCGGCACGCACCGCACTCATGAACATGCGCCCTGCACAGCCCGCTACGAAGGTGGGCGGCAGCTGTGCCACAGCGGATACCACCAGTGAGTCAACGCCGGCTGCTCCGCCGGCGCCTGCATCGGTTGCTGCTGTCGCTGCCTGCAGCACCGCTGCCGTCCCCGTAGGTCCTGGGGTGTCGATAGCAGCTTCTGATCCGTGTTTTAGCGGTTTCCCAGTCTGCTGCGGCGGCCCCAGCACCTGATGCAGCAGGAAGCAGGCCTGCTGGGCCTTGGCGGCTGCAGAGGAAAGGCGTTCCACTGCTAGGCGACAGGCCCGCTCAACATCCGATCTGGCAGCGGGACGATAAGGGGAGCACATGAAGGCGTGCGCCAAGTGTTTTCTCAAGCAAATACACAAGCCATGTCCAGCACTGCAACCTCCTCCTCTGTTCATGAATCCCTTGCCACACCTAAGCTGCATCAAAGACGCACGTGGGATGAAGCATCCCGGTCCATACACTTAAAGACGAATCGCCCCGCGCAAGACATACATTTCCCAGCAACCTTGACCGATATCAACGGAAATGTGCGCCCCTTTCCGTAGTATATGTCCGTATTGGAATGGACATTGCCTATGTCCGCCCGAAAGTACTGTCCCTTCTTTCCCCCAGCCCGTCCCGGCCTCACTTGGCGCCCCTGCGCAACAGCATCTTAATCGCCTTCGACCACTCGCCCGATACGGCCGCCAGCGACACGTATGGGCCATCCAGCCCGAAGTGCCCCAGCCAATGCAACCGTTCCACCACTTCCTGCGGCACGGCATGGAACAGCATGACCTTGGGCGCTAAGGTCAGAACCTTTCAAAACCGAAAAGCTGTCGCATTGCAGTAAACAGCCAGTAAACAGTCAGGGGTGAGCCAAATATTGCGCCGGCCCCTTGGCTTAAGCACATGTGACATGTACTTGGACACACATAAGCACCACCTACGGAGGTACGGATGCCAATGGAAGTCAGTGACCCTCCTGCTCCCCCCAAAACATTGGGAAGGGCTGAAAGCCTGTACGACGCACTTCAGAGACCTTCTTAGTTGGACACAGTCGTCGACAACTAGTCACCAGCTAGTGTATCACATGCGCGTTTGCTCTCCAAAGTTACATGCAGTGCCACTTTGCATCCCAACAGCACGAAAATATCGGAGCCCCATCTCCACGAAACACCCAAGTCACCCTCACCCTTCGGTGACCACCTCAGCTACCATCCGCCTATCCAACAACTCACCTGCATCGCCGGTATCGCGATGCTCGCAACGCCCTGCAGTGGCGGCGGTGCGTACGGCACAAACGGCATCACTGTCGACATCGAGCTCGCGTACGGATCCACCGTCCCCGCCAGCACCACCATGGGGACTCCGCCACCGCCAGCAGGGCCACTAGGCGGGCCCGCCTGTTGTGGCTGCTGCTGCAACCGCCGCACCGCCGCCTGATTGGCAGGCTTGAAACCCAGCCACGTGGGCAGAAGCTCCGGCCTAGAGGTGGACGAAGCCTTGCCAGCACAAATAGGATTGCCTCGTCCAGGCACCGTCGCAGACGGCTTGTATTCGCTTGGTTGCACACCGTGCTGTGCGCCCACCTCCCGCCCCAGGCGACCTCCTCCGGGCACCAGGGCCGGCGCTACCGTGGCCGGGCCAGACAGGGGCCCTGAGGTGTGTACAGGGGTGGGCGTAAGCCCCATGGCAGCGACCACATGAGCCGCGCTCCATCCGTCTCGGGCTAGAATATATGCCTGCGCCGGGGGTTTGAAGTAAGCGCCATGAGTGGCTGGCTTCCCTGATCGGTTTAACTCCCCGGGCAGCACAGAGCTGCACCGGACGGGAAGGATTCAACACGCTCACACTGACAGAGGATCTGCGGCCGCTGTGCGGGCAAGCAGGAAACAAACAAGGTCCTTCGTCATCAAAATCATGCAGCACGCCTTGCTTTTTAACTAATCGAGGCAGCTCGCCGCATACATTTGAAATGCACGTGGCGGTGCTGGCCATTTGCGTTTACTACAAGGAGTCGGGATATGTCATCTGCAATGGTCTATTTTACAGGAACAGGTTCCCTTCGTTCCCACCGTGGTCAAGCGGGTTAGCACTTCCGAGGTCGCCAGATCGCTGGAGGAGCCGTAGCCGGTGCGCCGGCCCTGAGCGGCGGCATCCCCCAGTTTTAGCCTCCAGACCCCCAGCAGCCTGGCGCTGGCGGCCCGCAGGTAGGCGGGCAGGTCGGCTGCCAGCAGCAGCTTGCAGATGGCCTGTGTGAGAACAGGCGAGGATAAGGGTTACAACAACTTGAGTCCCATGGGAAACGACATGTCGCAGCCGGCCTGTCAGGATATGTCGGTGTTGCTGGTATGGCAAGGCGCAAGAGATCTCATAGAGGACTTGAGGAGCTGCGTTTTCCGTGGATTAGGTACCCACGCGGTCCCTGGTGTGCAGTTCCGGCCGCGACTTCGTCCCACCTGCAGCACCAGCTTGACCCTCCTAGCCAGTCCTGCGTCCAGCTCCCACACGTGCAGACACAGCCACGTGACCCGCAGCAGACCACAGAGGGCCCCTGCGGGGCCATTAGCCCCGGCCGGCTGCCCAACGGGGGAGCAGGCCTCGTCGAAGGCGGACAGCACCACATGCGGCCAGCTGTCCAGCGGACAGCGGGATGGAGGGCGGTGTGGAAAAACCGCACACGGGGAAGCGGGCAGAAGATAGGGCAGCGGAAGCGCAGCGGTGTAATGGCAGCGGCACGTTAGGGAAGGTTTTTCCAAGCTCACGCACTCATCCTTCGCCCGCAAAAAGCTGAGGATCAGGTGCACGGGGAAGACCAGACACAACGAAGTCTGTGGATGTTACAGGGTTACCAGCTGTCTGAAAGCAACCCTGTTCCATGACGTTACATAGTTTCCCAAGTGTCGCATTATGGCGTGAATGGGAGTTCTACAACACCTCAAATCTGTGACCCCTGCAAACAGTGTTCGCTACGTTGAAGAAAATCACGCAGCTATGCCGTGATTTGGCCTAAGTGACCACATGTATGGGTATCCCTGAAGCCCCTGAACTCCCACTCACGGATCGGGTGCCTCACTGCTGTTGGTATGTAGCCGCGTCTCCGGATCCAACTGCGAGGCGGACCAGCATGCAGCGGGGCTCCGTCACCTTGCCATTCTAGTAGAGTGCACCAAGTGGCGTACAGGGCAAAATGCGTGCCAATCATTCAACCCCAGACGCTCGCCCAGTCCCTTACCGGTTGCCGACGCGTCCTACTGAAGCGCGCTGGCGGCCCTGGTGTCAGATTCCATCAATAAAATGCTAAGAATCCCCCTGCAACACTCCCTGCCTTAGGAACACAAACCACGATGCCGGCAGATTAGGACACCTAAGGCCTAAATCCCTTTAATTGCTCAAACCCAATACCTACACACCTCGATGGTGGCATGCGACGTAAGGAAGGTCATTCGCGCCTCCCACACGGGACCTCGGACCGGCGCGCGTGCAGATATGAAGTTCTCCGCCGACTCGCTGCCCGATAGCTCAAGGCTGACCACACCGCCGGCAGCTCCAAACGACCAGCTGGGCGGCGGCAGCTGCACCGGCTTGGCGCCCGTGGCCCGCGCTAGGGCGTGGCGACCGCCGGCGGACTGACCCCGCACGTCGCCAGCGGCTACACCCTCCGCGGCAGCACCAACGTTCGCCACCAGGGGCTCCTCCTCGGGGGGCAGCAGCATGCGATAGGTCTCCCGATACCTGCATGAGGGTACAATGCACGGAGCTGAGCTATTACTACTGTTCAATCAATTCCAGGGACTGCATCGGGTGTGCGACGGTCCGCGTGTAAGGTTGTGAGCCGGCAGAATAAGACGCGCCATGGCTAGGAAGTGTCGGCTAACGCAATCCCTTTAGAGCGTGTCCTTATAATGCCAACACCTCCTGCAGCTTTCCAGTTACTCCTTGCCCTTGGACAGCAGCCCTACAACAAGCCAGATTTACCTCCCGTGCCGCTCGCGCTTCCGACAGCAACGGCCCCCACAGCGAGACAGCCACCGGGTACCCAAACCCAGAATTTCCAGAGTTCCAGAGGCAGCGGAACTACCCCATGGCCATAATTTGCACGCCAAAAGCCTTCTTGATGGTATTAGGAGTCCGTGGGTTACCACTAGCACCAGCACCAACCTGTCGGTGGTTACCACTATGGCCGTTGCCTCCCGATACCAGCTGCTGAACACCGCCCGAGCGGTGGCTGACGGAAACGCGCTCGACGAGTAGCCGCCGGGGTAACGCGGGTTGACCCTACTGCCTGCCTCAGAAGCGGGCAAGGCGGGAATGTGTGGCGCCGGTACGGGTGGAGGCTCCAGGTTCGGCGGTGGACGCGCGGTACTGGTGCTGGGACCCTCACCAGCGCTAGGAGCGGGCGGCCGGCTGCAGGGAATCCGATGCTGCCGAATGGATTCGGGTGTGCGCCTACAGGCCATGCGCGAAATGTGTGTGTGTGTGTGGGTTTGGCAGGGAGGGAGCGGTGCAAGTTGCGGCGGCATAGGTAGCAAGGCCGGGCCCGGGCTTCCGGGGCCTTCCATCCCTATCAATTTTCTATGTGGAATTCGGAGTAACCACGCAGGCTTACTACTTGAACCAAACATGTTGAAACTCACCGACCCACATCGTTGCATCGCTCCTGCTAATGCTTGCGTCGTAACTTGTTTTCCTCCCTGCCCTCCATTTCCCATCTTTCACTTACCTCCGGCTGTTGAGCTCTTGTTGCAGCCCAAGCGGCAGTCCAGCGCCGGGCAGCACGGAGGGAGCCAGCGGAGCGGGCGGGTCCTGTGCAAAGCAGGCAACGAAAGCAGCTACAGCTTAAGTCTAGATAGTTCTAGATCCCGTGCTATTTTGCAACACAGGTAAAAGTGTGGTAAAAACTAGATGCTGGGATGCCGTGCTTGTCAGGAGTACGGGTCCATCTGACTGCACCGAATACCATACACCTAGCCAAGGAATCCTGATCCGCTCCTCAAAAGGCCCAGTTCCCTATGCCGCCAGGAAGCCAGCGCCTAGGGCCTCCTTCCAACTGTCGTCTTAGGCGACTCACCACATAAGTGGGTCCCAAAACAAGCGCGCCCCCGGACAGAGACACCAAGGTGCGGGCAACGGGCGGGGGTCCGAAGCCCAGCTCTTCGGGCGGCCAAGAACAAAAACCTTCGTGCCCATTTGCCGCTGCAGTGCCAGATCCGCCAGGAGGGCCCTGTCCTGCGGCTCCTGCGGCTGCTCCCGGGGTGGCGTCGGTGCCCGACCCGTTGGCTGAGTCCTCTGCTACTCCCGCCTCTGTAGCCTGCTGTGGCATCACTTTGCGGGCAGCAGCGGCAAGCACGCTCAGATCATGCTCACACAGCACATCGGCACCGCCGGCCACGCGCGCCGCCAACAGCACCGCAGCCACCGCTGGGCATAACTGCGAATGCAGCGGATCGTAACCCACTCCGCAGCAACTCGATGAGCAAGCCAGCAGTGACCAATCGCCGCAGCTGAGCAGCACCTCAACCACGTGGGTGGAGCGCTCCGGAGGACCACACGTCCCGGGGGCCGCCAGTCCCACAGGCGCTGCTCCATCACCGTCCCCACTCGGGACACCGTGCGCCGAGAGGGCGGCGGCGCCGCCACTGGTTTCAATGTTTGGTCCATCTGGGTTCGCCGGTGTGCGGCCGCCGCCGGTCGTACCGGCCGACCTGTTGTTGGCGGCCGCAGCAGCACGGGAGACGTGGGCGGCCGTTGGGGTACCATTGCAGCTGCATATTTCGACATCATCGTGTGGCACGTGCAGGAAACCGCGTAACAGTACCCGCTCGCCGTCTTTGCTGTGCTGCGCTGTCAGGCTGTGGACGCAGCGGCTGTGAAGGAGATTCTTGACATCCCTCCATGCCCAAGGAGAGACCTGCGGCGTGATGACTCATGGACCAAGGGACAAACGGATGCACTCGGACAGCCATGCATATCATGAATCCAAAGCAGCGCCATAGCGACCGCAAAGCAAACCCGCACACATGAAAGTGGGTCAGAGGCACCAAGCTGAGGCTAAGCAGATACCAAGAAGCAATATCATTCTTGACCAAGAAATTACCCAAAGCCCTCACCCCGCTCCAACTTACCCGCTGTCGTATGTCATCCGCACGCAGGCGTGCTCTATGGCACAGGTGAAAAGCGCATCCTTTGCATTCAGGTAAGGAAACTCGGGCAAGTAGGGCCTCCCGGCCACATCCGGTAGGTAACTGCCCTGACACGGAACAGTCTTCGGTCAGGGTCGCGTTCTGCACCAGCGACTCAAGTATGCTCCTCAAGCGAGATGTAACTTTCTGGACTGCTTCCGGGCCTACAGATATGAAAAAGTTCACCACAGACGGAAACGGCATGGCGCTAACCTCTCGCCTCACGCAGCAAGACTCAGCGTGTAAAGAAGTCAAGTAGTCACAGTATCACCTGGAAATTTACGTCGCTTAGCCGGCACGCCGTCGCCCTGGTGACCCGCAAGCCGCTTCACCATCGCTGACCCTGGCGAGGTGACGAATGTCACAAAAGCTCAAACACCGACATTAAAAGGTGAAAGAGAGGATTGTGAACGTCTCCTTGGTGACCGTCAAGTCCTGTCTAGGCCCTGTGCTTTTTCCCCGGGAACGCCCGAATTGTGTTCGCTAACACCGGACGGTCACATAAAGTGTGTGCTGTATAATCTAGAAAAAATCTACGTGCGTATAGTTGGAAATTGTGTGAGCGGATTGCGGTGTCCAAAGGGGAAATGCATGCTGTGCGCGTCTTGCGTCTGCGTCCGTATCTTGTGCCGTACCCGAAAAAGCTAAACCAGTGTTATGCCATTCCATACCTTACTGGTTTTTTATGCTCTTAGGAAGCAGCAATCTACCCCGGCATTAAAAAAATGCTTTGCACGAAGCACTTTTGGCACAGGTTTAAAATCTTATGAAATAAAAAATGCGAACACAGGGACCAGGTCCGCAAGCGCAACGACGGGGAATTTAATTAACAGGCTCCGTTTAATGGCTACGTGAAAAATGTTCCTTGTTTGAAAGCTTCAGCGATGCCGGTGAGCTCCCGTATAGGATGGGGACCCATATGAATCCCTTTGCCACTATCATTTGAAGCTACTGTGTGTTTTGAGGCGCGGTCATTCTGTAACCATAAGATGCCGTGGGTGTGGGCGGGCGTGACTAGCGGGTGTTCAGCCCATACAACAGATGAGTACTGTTGCGTTGATGTGGCACCTCAAGGCCGCCGAGCGGTTGGACGTCGAGTTCCAGGGTCGGTCCTGGGTCGGTTTCCCAGCACGTCCGTCGGGAGGAGACGGTGACGAAAGCGTCCCCCACCACGCACATGATCGTTTGGCAGGCGTGATTGTGGCGGCGCATGTACCTAGCAGTTATTATAAATGATGTGTTGTACTGGCCAAACACGTTCGAAGCGTTTGTGTTACGTGGATGCATCTTTTGGCTTGTCGAAGTCCTGACACAGAGCCCCGCCCATACCCAAAGTGCCTGCTCCTATGCAACTAGGTTAGCATCCCCTCAAACATGCATGTACTCTCGTTTGTGTAGTGGGTTCAATGTTGCAACCGAATGTTTTGCAACCTCCAGTTGGCTCGGCAGCCCGTAGGGACTCTCACTTCGACGTGGAGTAACTTATGCCCTTACGGCAAACTAATTGTACCCAAATAGCATAAGAAGCTTACATGCTAGAATCACTCGTAATCTACAAGTGTAATGGCAACGAGAAAGCTGTTCCCATGGCGGGACGAAATGGATGGCTGCCGTAGGCGCTACTTGCAATTTACGTTATAATTCCTTACAAACGTTATGGTTATCATAGCTTAACACTATACATAAAAAAGGTTAGCCATGACCATGCATGCTCCAAACCTTGGTTGTATGCTTCATTTGTCCTAACTGAACCAAATGAGCAGAGCAGTCGGCTCAGATGACTTCTTGGCTGTAGCAACTGCTTTGGTTTGGACCGTTTCCTTATCCGTTACTGGGTTCCGAGGATGGACCACAAGGTACACAACCGCTCTTGACATTTCTGAAGATGGACTCAGCACTTGGTTCGTTCAACCCTGAATTGAAGCGGGTTTTCCTTCTCATCATCGCTTCATATTACAGGGCTTGTCGCTTATCGCCACGGAGCACTTTTGGCCGCGCTACTGTTTCGACGGAGGGCCAGACGACAGAACTGCCCAGCCAGGACGTCTTTGGCGAGGTACGAGAAATTTGAATCTTATGAAGTCTTGCCCTTATCATTGCAGGATAGCAATGGCCTCAACTTTGAAATTGTTGGTTCCTTGTGTTTGCAGATATACAGACGCCAAGCACCAGGTTCTTCCGCAGCAGATTCTGGAGTGGGCCTAAAATGTCTGTTGTCACTGTTTGCTGACACCGATGGGGTTGAACTTTCTGCCTCGAACGACTCCGTGGCAGGGGACAGCTCCGCACTCAACGTCCTCGAAGAACTGCAGTCATTGCAAACACTTGTTGCATCTCCTCGGGAGCTGTCAGATGCCGCCAACGGATGCCTTCAATGTGGCCAGGTGAGGCAGAGGCTAACGCAGTGGTGACGTCTTTTAAGGATTCCGGTGTCCGTGAACACATCCCCTTGCTAGTCAAGCCACCCGAGAGCAACAGTCGATGCGCCTGGATAGCATCTCCATCCCTAATAGCATCTTGTCCGCGGCTCACGGCCGTCCACTTTGCGCTCAGCCTAATCTCTAAAGTGAAGAAAGCCATGCTGCTGCTTTGCATTAACCGTAAAAGCACTTCTTATTCGCAGAGGCTTTCATTCCCCCTCTCACCTCCCCTTTCCAGGCCCCCGGCTCTTACTCTACAACGTCTTCAGCTGCGGGCGGTGTCCATGTGGATGCCGTGTCCCCGGCGGTGGACCCGGCCAAATCCTCTGTACGGCGAAGCCTGGATGCCGTCGCCCGCGTTACCATCACATCGCCATCAAAGACAAAGCGGAATTCTTCGTCCGCGGGTCACAGCAGCTCCGCAACCTGCAGCACTACCAACAGCGCCCTCAGCTCCAGCAGCAATAGCACCTTCAGCTGCCGCAGCGGCGCCAATATGGCGGACGAAGCCCCCACGGCGTCAATGTCTGAGGTGTCCGCATTTGAACTGGTAAGAAGCAACCAGGCGTTCTGCGATTACATCAAGGGAATCCACACCGACAGAGGCGCCACCTTGAAGCCCGATTCATCAACGCGGTCCGACGCAGCTTACCAGCAATATCAAAAGCAGCATCAACAATTGCACAGCCACGATCTCGGGGCAGCGGCAGAACCTTTTGCCTTAGCTGCCGATTCCTCAGCACTCGGCCCACAGATCTCACCCGTAGCCGCAACAGCAGTGTCGGCGCCTGTCCATGAGCTGGACTGCGCAGCCCTGCAAATCGTTCGAAATGCAAGCAGCTGCGGCGGCGGCGGCGGCAGCAGCTCCACGGGCGCCATCCTGCTTCCCCGTGGGCCCATATCAACCTCCGACCCGGGCAGTGCGACGGCGGCATTGGCGGCGGCGGCCTTTGCCCTAGCAGCCGCCGCTGCACAGCACCGTAGCCTGGGTGGTGCAGTGGCGTCGCAGAGCCCGCCGCCTGTACAGGGATTCGATATGTGCCGGGTGCGCTGCAACATTTCCTTCATCCCGGAAGACGAGGAAGTGGATGCAGCCAGTGATGGCGAGGAGCGGGAGGAGGATCTGAGGGAGATGGGAGTGCTGGCTGCTGATGTGGCAGACACCGATACGGGTTCCGGCGCCCGGACGTGCTCGGGTGCTCGGCGCAGTGCTGCGTCCCGGGGCCAGTCGGTGTGCGAGGGCGTCTATGAGCTTCGTCGCCTGCTGCTGCCCGCCGCCGTTCCGACCACGCCTCAGCACTCCTCCGCCCAGCGGGCTCTCTACACGCAGCAGGAGCGAGAACATGTGTCAGCGCAGCAGGGACTGCCTGCTGGTGCCGGTGCCGTTGTCAGTGCCGATTCAGTCGAGTCCGTCTGCGTCATGCAGGAGTCCATCTTGCCAACTGAGTCCGCATCCTCCGTCTCCTCTTCATCCTCCGTGTCATCCGCACCAGAACTCCGACTGGCAGACTCCGCAGACCTGCATGAGGCGTACAAATGCCATGCAAGTATGGTCAATCTCTGCGGCGGAGAAGAAAGCTGTGCCGGTTACGAGGAGCAACGTGGCTTCCAGGGCCCCTGCCGGGACGTGGTCACGAGTAATTGCGGTGCTGATTCGTGCGAAAGGGAGGCCGGAGCCGCCTTCAGCTGCGGATCATGTGAAATGGACGAGTCGTCGTGTGGCGAGCCAGCACCCATGACGCCAAGTCGGCAGCACCCGCACCTGCCCGTCTGCTCTCCTTGCGGCAAGACCGAGCTGCTGGTAGCAGCTGGCGCCGACACAGCGGCAACGGCAGCAGCAGCCCTATCAGTGGCGGCGGATGCGGCCTTGGTACCGGCAGTCGAGGCCGGGTTTGAGGTCGAGGAGGAGGATGGCAACATCATCACGTATCCGCTGGGTCCCGGCTGTGAGCCCTCCATGTTGCTGCACTACAGCAGCTCACCGGAGGCCGCTCCACATGGCTCCATGCTCGCCCTCAGTGCCGGGCCCAGCCCACGCAGCTTCCCTGTTGGCTCCCCGCTGCGAGATTCCCCCGCCCGGCAGCCGCAGCCCTGCCCGTCTGGCCTCTCCGCCGCCGCACTGTCCTCAGCCTCATTCCTCCATGCAGCCTCAGTCCGCTCCCGCCGCACGTCCGCCCCTAGGTCCGCGCCCACATCTTCAGGGGGGGCAATGGCTGACTTCCCTCTCACTGTACCTGATCTGTCCCGCGGCGTCCCAGCGCCGGTACCAGAGCACCCTGCCTCCACCGGCCCCTCCTCCTCCACCTCTATTCATGTTGATATGCTCCATACCTCTCACGACCCGCCAGAGCTGCCTGTTGATCCCTCCGCATCTTCGTTCTCCCAGCTGGGCATGCCCGTACCCTTGGCGCCAGCACTGTCCATGGCGCGTACGAGTACTCGATACCGTCGGTCCACCGCTGGCGGCAGCACGAGCACCGCCAGCAGCAGCGCAGTATGCACCCCGCGCAGCGTTGCATCGACAACCGCACTCTACGGCGCCCGTGGCGGAAGTCAGGGAGGGTCGGTACGGCAGCGTCACCGCGTCGCGCCGCCTCCCTGTCTGAGCCACCCCTCGCGTCCGCACCCGAAGCATGTACATGTGGTGGGTACACAGAACGCGAGCCTGCACACCCTGCACAACCACTCGACTACACTCAAGGCTATTGCAGCCGCCGGCACACCTGCAGCGCTGGCGGCCGCGGCGTGCGCCTCCCTGGAGTTGTGTCGGCGGCGTCAGGCTCGCGAGCAGCTGGTGCAGCAGGCGGCGGCAACCTTGTGCGGCGGCGCGGACTGCCCCAGCTACCTGCGGCCGACGCTGTCGTCCGCTGCCAAGTCACTGTTGCTGCAGCACCAGCCCCCTCCTCCTCACCCTCCTCCGTATCGACCGTCTGTAACAGCGGGACCCACCCCCACCAGGTCCATGGGCCCGGCCATCGAGCGGCCGTTCCGTTAGACGCCTGCCTGCCCAGCCCGCTTGCTAGCTAGCTTTAAGCTTTTGTCCATAGCACATATCCAGTTTGAGGGGTTCCGCACTGGGTGAAGCCATCGGCGTGCCGGGCGACCTCCTCCGCAGCAGCAGCAGGGAGGGCTTCTTTGTCCCACTCGAGGGGTCAAGTGCGTCCTCCGACCTTTTGTTACATATAATCGTATCTTATTATACAGCTATACGGACGATAAGGAGCAGCGCCGCGGCGGCAGCGGCAGCTACAGCCCGTCTTGTCGTGGTCCATACAAGCGCAGCTCCGTACATACATGGATAGGAGGTTACGCCTGTGAGTGTGTGCACAGGTTTGCTTGCTTGAGAAAAAGACAGAAGACAGTTGGTTTGTGTTGGCGCACAGACATAAGGGGCGGCAGGGAAGAATGTGTTGTGACGAAAATCCAGCGGGGATGGGTTCACGGGTGTTCACCACAGCATAGGGGCGGAAAAAGGAGACGTGCTTGGCTGTGTCACGGTGGAAAGCAATTGGCCATTACACTCCCAATGTGCTATTTACAGACCTGGAAGGATGCGGCAGCTACCGGCGTGACGGCCCATGCTGCAGGAGGTAGGGGCTGGATGACTAGGGATGGGTTTCGGTTCCGGACTAGAGGATTGCGGTCCTGGTGAGACCGGCTTTTGGCACGGCTTGGCGCCGCGGTGCAGTTGGTTGGCTGGTGCCTTGTTGCCGGGTCGAGGGGAAAACAGAGGGTGTTCAACGAGCGAGGGAAATCACGTAACATGCCGTACGCTTTGTGAGGAAATTCTGTCATCCTTTTCAAGCGTATGAAGGGTGATGCAGTGTTGTTTCCGACCCACCGACCCACCTACCGATGTCTTCTCGTTCACCTTTGACCGCAAACTGGCGGGATGTGCGTACTGGTACACGTGTGAACTGTCTAGCCGTAGTACGGTGGATGGTAGAACCGGCGGTTCTAGGCACCGTCATGAAAGGCGACAGGGCAGGAGATGACCCACCAAGGACGTGCTTGGTGTGCGACAGGGTTGGCTTGGGTAGAGGTGCTTACTGGCTTATTTGCAGGTTTGTTAAGGATACCGTATGAATGCTTTCATGCTGTCGTTGTGCAGCGCCGGTGGGCGGGTGGGTATTATTGGCCGCAGCGACGGCAGACAAGCAGGAAGGGCATTGCGCCTCCCGGGGGGCTTTGCAGGGGACATGCTTCCTGGTGCCCTGCAGGAAGTAGATGGCTAGGAGGGCGCAGGGCGCCTTCCGCGCTTTCAGGGCTTTCGGCTGCCCTGCCTTCCTAAGCAGGTGGGTATGTGGTGGTGTGGATGGGGAAATCCGATCTCAGGCGAAACCTCAGACAGCTCAGACACGTTGAGGATTATTTTTTCCAGTTGTTGTTTGCTTTAGGTTGTAGGTTAGGGATTACAAAACCAATGGCAAATACTTGTTGTGCCTTGTTGACAAGACGCGTGCTTGGAGTTGCAGAGCTGGGGGGTTGACCAAGTCGGTGATTCGTTTGTTTGTTTCGATAACCTCGCGGCGGTGCTGCCTGATGGGGAGGGGACGGCAATGTCGGTACATCCGCCCCAAAATTTGCAGGCGAGCAGTCTTGGTGATGATAGTGAGATGGCGGCGTGGTGGCTCCCGTTGCCGCACGTGAGTGGTGTTCAGGTGGCCATGTTGATGTCCCCTGCACTCATAAGTCGCATTCCATTTCCCGTGTCTGTGCGCGGTAGGGTCTCTGGCGGCTCGGTGTCTACGGAGAGGCCCGTTCGTTTAAAGCGGCCCACGCTTCCTTGACTTTTACGTGCAGCATTGTCAACCGGAGATGACAGGCCTTGGACTACGCGACTACTTATTGACTGACCCGTGTATGTATATGTGTATGTGTGCCCCACAACGTGTGTAGTCCTTACATGTTAAGTAGCTGGTGCGTATGGCACGGCCTTTCTAGGCGGTGTGGCGTGGCCCTTCATGGCCTGCATGGACGTGCCCTTCTGCACGACTGCTTGTGTGTACGTACTTGGCTCGATGGGGGATCGTTTCCGCCACCGCAACCAGTGAAAGCAGGCGCCTGCCCGCTGCCCTGAGCTGCAAGCTTCCCTTGTTGTTTATGATTGTGTCGCTTTCGATTGGTTGTTGCTGTGGGCGGTTCTCCACTTCGTTGTTTTGTTGGATTCCCAAATGCCGGTTAGGTGATTGTTGCTAGGCTTGGCCGTGCCCGTGTCCGTCAGTCCTTTGACTCGGTGCTACGATTTCAGGTATGTTAGGGAAGAGGACATGGCATCATTTCCCTAAACGCCCATTCGGGAAACTATGCCAGGTCCTCTTCCACCCCGTCCGACAGGGGAACCAGGGGGGCAGGGTCCAGGGGTGGGAGGAGGAGGCCCATGTCCCCCCGTGTCCCTTCAAGAGGGCTTCGTGAAGGCGCTTTGGCGTCCTTGAACTAAAAGAATTCTTTAGGCATGACTATTCCTCTATGCCAGGGCCTTATAATACATTCTTTATAGTGCCTTCCTCTGAGGTCGCTTTAGTACTTCAGTACCTTTTTATCACCCGTGTTTCCCTGTTGCCTTGTAACACAATCCAGAGCAATGCTGGCGTCGTTTCCAAGGAAACGCAATTTGCTCATGTCGCGTACGTGTCGAAACTTGACACCGCGAGATTGAGATGTATGTAAACGCTTCGGCTGTGTTTCGCGGGTTGCAGCCTGGGCCCGTACACCCCGCGATGAAAAAACGTTAAAGCATTCGCAAGGTATTTCGTTCGAAACCTACCATGTCTGATACGCCTGCTGCTCACACGCACGCAGCAGGCAGCAGGCAAGACACACAATCTCAGCTACAACCTATCCTATCAGTCGGTACATACGACAGATCCACAGCTACTGTACAAAAAGGCGACACATAAGTGCAGCTTCGGCGTGGCAGGAACATATCGACTATATAGCTTCAAAGCTGAAAGATGGAACTTCAAAATGCCCAACAGTCCTATTGAGGCTTTTAAATGGACACCACACACATACGCATGTACGCAGCAGCCTTGTATCACGTCATATGTACGCTGGGAGCTCCATACTGTTGGAGCCCCAAAGGCGTTTTTAGCACCGCCCGGCCGTCCCTCTGACACGGCCCTCTACAGCCGAACCACACGATCAGATCCGGGGACATGGCGCGTCTAGGAAGTCCCTCAACGCGCGGGCGTTCTTAGAGCTGGCCATGATGACTTCCAGTCGCTCCAGGGGCAGGGCCGCCAGCTCCGCCAGGCTGGAGACATGGCCCAGAATGGCACGATAGTTGGAATCTGGTCGTATGACCCGGGGATAAGGGGGGTGGGGAGGGAGGGGAGGGAGCAGGCTTGAGGTAAAGGAGACTAAATGGCAAAGTTGGGAATGCACGACACAATAACTTTCAGTGTCCTGCTGAAAGGGAGTGAGGCGGCCTATGGATTACTGGAGGATGGAGAGGCGTACAGGGAAGTTCACGACCAGGACCACTCTGCCCTTGATGCCTCTCCTTAAGCTCCCTCACCACCACTGACACTCCTCCCACCTCTCTTCCCCCATCAGCCCCCACTCCAACCGCCACCGGGGGCCCCACCAAATCACATTCCTCTCAGGACCCCCTCCCCCCCCCACACACACACACTCACTCACTCACCAGTCACACCGGGCAGCCTCCTCAACAGCTCCATTGCTGGCTGGTTCACCACAGACTCGAGTGGAGCCGCCCCAGGACCGCTGGCCCCACCTGCCCGCAACCCCCCAGCACCTCCTCCTCCACCACCGCCCTCCGCATCCGATGGCGGCAGCGGCACCCCGTCCGGCCCCAGGGGGACCCCCACCAGCGCCGCCGCGGCGGGGTCGGGCTCGTCCTGGTTGGACTTGAGGACCGCGAACAGGTCGGCGGTGGCGTGTGGGCTCCGAGACCACAACAGCCTGCCGGGGTCCAGGGGGATTCGGCGCCGGGAATTACGGGACGCGGGAATACGAAGGTCTGTTGAAGGAACGCGATTTGTTTTCTGTATCTGTGTCATGGTACGAATGACCTCATGAGCGCAAGTCCCTCCAGCCCCCGCCGTCTAGGACCAAGCCCTCCCCTCCCCCCCGTACCTGAGCTTGGGGAAGTGCAGGGTGAGCAGGGTGAGCTTGGAGATGACGTTGCGCGGGTCGATGTCGTCCCCCAGCTCGGAGGGGCTCTGCAACCCGAACTGCCGGTCCGCATCGAACTCAATGAGCAGCAGGGGCCGGGGATAGTGGCGGCACATCGCCGCCACCTGGTTGTACAACCTGGGGGTTGTGGGGGGGAGGAGGTGAAGAGGATCTGGGTTTCATACAACATAAGTGGGCGAATACTGGCCATCGTTCCTTCCTTCTCCGTCCTAAACCACTGCCCCATTTATCACTCCCCCTCCCCCTCCTCCTCCTCCTCTTCCTCCTCCTCCTCCTCCTCCTCCTACTACTACTACAATCATCAACCCCTGACATTTACCCAAGGCCCTCACCCCGGCACTCCTCAGTCCCATTGCTTATCCGGGCCCCCCAACCTTCCCTGTCCCTGATTTCGCACCTGCCACTGGCCAGGCTGGCGTGCAGGTCGGGCAGGCTCTTCCGCTCCACCACCAGCTGCGGACTCAACACGTAGTCCCCCACCTCCAGAGTCAAGGGAAGCAGCTCAAAGCCCTGCAGGGAGAAGGGGACGGGTGAGGGGGGGAGAGGGGCGATATGGGCCCAGGTCGGGCCAAGGGGCTTGGGCTTGAGTGAGGTGTTGGGAAGAATTGCGTACGGGGTGGGACGGGGGAGGTGGTTACTCTGGTGCGAATAAACTCAACCCTAGGTCCCCAGCTTCGGGAGTTGGTTCAGGAACGCCCTCAGCAACACCCTCATAGCCCACGCGTGCTCAGGAAGTGAGCTAACCCCGTTTCCAGATCGGGGGTAGCTCGTTTTCAGTGGCCGGGATCTTGGCACCCCAGTCGTACCGCCACCCCAGGTCCCCCCATTCCCGGTCGGCCAGCTCCCGCCCACCAGTCAGATCATAGGGACCAACCCCCGGGGCCCCTGGAGCCGGACGCGCCACCGCTACAAACCTTCTGGTACAGCACCGCTGGCAGGCTGCTCATGAACTCCCGGACGTCCACCACCAGGCGCCTCCCCGCCCCTCCCCCGCTCGCTCCGAGACCACCCACACCGCCGCCCCCCTGTCCCGCCATGCGGCCCCCCGCAGACCGGGTGAGTGCATTGGCGCTGTACACGTCCAGCCACAGGTCTGCGCTCAGAGCGCCACCCCCACCCCCGCGAGCTCCGTTGCTGCTCCCTCCCCCTCGCTGCGGGACGTGGAGTAGGGTGTTGGCGAGGCGAGCACGTAGGGGGAGGGAAGCCAGGCAAGTCAAGGGGGGCTCAGGGTTGTTCTACCTCGCTCGTGAGTTCGGCCGGCCATTATGACCACCGTGATTAGCAAAGGGGTCTGGCACGAAGGACTTGAGCAGCGCAGGCCCTGACCGTGCTGGTTCTGGTTCCGGAGCAAATAGATCGAAGTGACACCCAGGCAAGGAGGGGGAAGGGGCTTTAGGGAGGGAGGGGAAGGAGGCGGGTGATCCCTGTGTACATGTATGTGTGG